TGTTGTACCTGTGCTGCAGGTACAGCAGCTAATTAGCATTCCCCACACCCTAAGACCTCTCAGCACCCACAAACCCCCATCCGAGCCACAGCTCTGCAGAAAGAGTTGCTACGGAGAAGGAAGGAAGGAGAAAAAAGAAGAAATAAAAAAAAATAAAAATATTATCTTGGCTCCCAGCCCAAGCCTTTCTCTTTTTAAGATGCATTTTAACAATCTGCCGGCTGGTAACCTCCCGGAGTTACAAGGGAGGCTGCTTGTCAAGAGCTGACCTGAGCTGGATTTAATTGAAAGCCAGTTGCTGGGGTTGGGAGAGAGATGGGAAAGGGCACCTTGGGGAGGCTGGGCCCGAGGGGACAGGAGCTGCTGGGTGAGCAGAGAGCACCATGTGCAGCTACATGAGGAGAGTCACAGCCTGGGTTTGGAGAGCCCTGGGTGCTTTCCTCAGCTCCTGCCAGTTAAATGGGATCCAGCCTGGTTGCTTTGCTCCCTTCAGCAGGGCTCATCCCAGGGCAACACACCCCTTGTACACACACCCGGCACCGACAGTGCCCAGGTGAAGGCAGCGAGACCCCAAGATCTGTCTCACCCGGGCACAGAAGCCCATTTCAAGGTGTTTCTCCACAGAGGTTTTCCCTCAGCACAGCCAAAAGCAGAGCAGCTACAGCGCATTTCTTTCCCCTCCCCTGAACCACACAGCTCCCTCTGCTCAGCCCAAATGTCACAGAATCACAGAATCTTCTAGGTTGGAAGGGTCCTCAAAGATCATATTGTTCAACCATCAACCTAACTTTGACAAAAATAGACACCCGCACAACAAACAAGGAGCATCATCACTAAACCATACCTCCCAGCACTACATCAACCTGTCTTTTGGACGCCTCCAGGGATGGGGCCTCAACCACCTCCCTGGGCAGCCCATTCCAATGGCTGAGAACCCTTTCGGGGAAAAAAATTTTCCTAATATCCAGCCTGAACCTCCCCTGGTGTAACCTGAGGCCATTTCCTCTCGTCCTGTTGCCTGTGACTTGGGAGAAGAGACCGACCCCCACCTCTCTACACCCTCCTTTCAGGCAGTTGTAGAGAGCAGTAAGGTCTCCCCTCAGCCTCCTCTTCTCCAGGCTGAATAACCCCAGTTCCCTCAGCCTCTCCTCATAAGACTTGTATGTCCATCCTTTCCATGGGCCAGCAAACCTGGGACAAGAGCCAGCCAGGGAAGACCCAGCATCTCCCCCAGGCTCTGCTACCAGCCCCAGCTCCCTCAGCCTCTCCTCATAAGACTTGTATGTCCATCCTTTCCATGGGCCAGCAAACCTGGGACAAGAGCCAGCCAGGGATGAGCCAGCAACTCCCCAAGGCTCTGCTGCCACTGGTCCTCAACCAGCTTCACACACCAGGAAGTCCCTCGAGTGCTCACAACCTGCCTCTGCTTTTCATCCCATGAAGGTGTGACTCCCCACCCTCAGACCAAAAGGCTTGTGCTAAGTTTTTGGGAAGTATTTTACCTCCTGGAGGAGGAAGAAGAGTTGCGCTGCCCAGGGACTGGCAAACTGGATTAGCTGGGAGCAACCAACTGCTAATCCCAGCCCCACCACTGAGGATACCTGTCGCCTTGGGCAGATCGCTTCACTTGCTGTTTCAAAATCCTCCTGTTTTGCAATATTTATCTCCTGCATGAAGCTTTTGGGGGAAGAATTTATTGGCAGAGGGAAAAACAAATCAAGTATTTCATAGCAGTAACTTTGCAGTAGAAAATATCGAGCAGTCTCTACGTCTGCTATCAATACCCCAAGCCTTTAATTCCACCAGAGACAAAACAAGTTCATTTGAGAGTTTCAATCCATGACCCAGGAACATTATCATTCTTGCTAAAAATAGCATCTCATGAAAATATTGACCATCAAACTGTGATTTCAGCTGCTTAGAATTTACCAAGATATTCCTGCTCCTTTTCCCTGTAGCCTA